CCTTTTTGAAGAAGGGAAAACATAACAGAGTCATAAATTGTGAGACTAAAAACATCATAGGTTATAAAACGTAATTAATTCCTTTTACAGGTAAGAAAATTCAAAGGGACTTCCTTGAGTTCCCATAGTGAATTAATAACAGACCCTACATCAAAAACTAAGTTTCCTACACTATTATAACCATTTTTACTATTTACATGTACCCTATAACATCATGTCATAAACCTCCACTACATACAATAAAATTTATTCAAAAAGAAAACAAAACTAGGTTTCTTAAACTCCAAACCAATAATTTTTTTATTTTTTAACTGTACCAGGCGAGTAAAAAACAAGTTAACATCAATGACATTAAATTTGAAAAGTAAAATATAAAGGTAAAAAGCAGATAGAATCATGCAGTCAAGATCTAAGTGACTACTGGAAACTTTAATAGGCAAGTTAGCAAAGTCATCCCTTATGACTGAGCCCATGTCCTTTCAACTTTATTGTGAGTGGTTGTTCTCCATATCGCAAGTCTCAGAAGCCATCCTGAATGCCACATTTAGGGGCCATTCAAAATGAAATACTTTGGTTTTCCACATGTGAGAGCAAGTGTTTAGGATGAAGAATATGTGATGTAAGTTACTCTGAAGTGATTCCAGCATTGATTCCACATTGGAAGTAGTGAGGTAGTAGTTTTAAGAGAAGAGAATATAAATTAGAGCTTAAAACAATTGTATCCTCAGTGAATGCCATTTAACACCTTCCTAAACAAAACCTCATAAAAATATGTATGCTGATTTCAATTTTTTTGTTCCTTCTACCCTGCATGACACATATGGATTGGAATTGGGATTTAATATTACATTTTCTGATGAGTAAATACCAGTTGAGTGTTATCTCAGGATGATCTGGCCTTGAGCATGAAAAAGCTCAGTGTCTCAAAAAGTGTACACGAACATATTTAAAATGATACATTTTATTTTTAAAAGCAGACTTACCAAGTCTACTACTTTCTGCAACTTCAAAATTATAAATTGCTTCTGTGAAAACAGGTTTGTTGTCATTTTCATCCTCTACTCTGATGGGCAGGGGAAGAGGTAAATCTGCTGAGTACCCGTCTGCAGTTGAGGCATAGGCGATCAACTGCAAAACAGGAAAAAGCAAGTTCAGTAGCCCGTTAGTATGAAATTCTAGCAAAAGAGAATAAGATGCTTTATCTACTACCTTCTTTGCAAGTCTCTTCAATAGTAAACCACATGAAAGATTTTTATTCAATGCTTTTGAAACTATCAAAGCATCGAATGGAGAAACACTTTACTGCAAAGAACATCCAGGATTTAGTGGAAATGGCTACTTGAAAAAAAACTTCAGAGTAAGGGACGACTCTCTCCGTTAGACTGAGAAATTAAATGTGAACATAGAGACTTGCATTATAGTTTTGATTTTCTCCACAATCAGAAAGTTACATTGGGGAGAACGATTAAACCCACTGCAATGGGAAAAATCATCTAAATAAGTCAACAATTCCCAACCTTGTCACTACCAAGCCCTTTTATTGTTTTACTCAAGAGATCACATATTTGTAAGAGTTTTTCTAACAAAATGCACTTACTGACTGCCCCACTGGTAATTGATTAAAGGCAATGTAATGTCAAATAGAATGTATTTCTATTCAGCACATTATTAGAACACTGAACTGAACATTCTCTAACCG